AAATGTTTGTTGCTGGCAGGTTCAAATTTTCCAAAAACCAAAAAAGTTTTTTTTTTTTTTTTTTTTTTTTTTTTTCTGTTTTAAGCCTCTGCTTAAAAAAGAAAAGCTGTATAAATGCTTAAAGGTGTATAAATGTGCCTGTGAGTGCTAGTGACTCAACAGTGTACACTAGAGACATGGTCGAGCCATATTGTCCTTTTGCTCCAGGGATGACTCATGAGCATGTGTTGTGCCTTCTTTGATTTTATCCCCTTCATCCGGTTAATAATCGGAATTAGAAAAGGAATAGACTGTCCATCCTTTGTACACTCAGTATTCGCACACACACACACACACACACACACACACACACACACACACACACACACACACACACAGATTGACTCCCTCTCTTTGCCTTGGCTCCAAATAAGAAAGTGTTGAAGACTTCTGAAGCTCTGCCCATGCTGGCTTACTCCTCTTAAAGCTCCTCTCTTTGGAGTACCCAGTCAGAAATTTGTATCTGTGATCCCTTTGTCTTCCCAGCACACTCTTCATCATCATCTCTGCCAGTGGGAACTTTATCTCCAATACTGTCTGAAGCTGATGTGACTTTTGTATGGTTACAGATGATTTTGTCACAGCATAATCCCTGATGGATATTGTAAAATTTAAATCTCTGGTGACATTTTGTAAAACCTTGAGCTCATCATCTTTTCCTGTGCTCACATTCAGAGGAGGTCTTTCCATTAAAACTTGCTGTGAATCTAGCCACAGAACCTCAGATTTTCTAAATTCTTCAGTAAGATGTGTTTTAGTTATGCTCTAAATCACAATTGTCACATTAACAATCATGGATAGCTGTAAACAAGCAGATGTGAGCATGAGTAAAAAGCAAAAACAACAGCAAGTAAATGAAAATCATCCCAAATTCAACTTGAAAGACACTGCTAACACTTTGTACTTTGTGTTCTGAGTCCTGGAGGAGACGTTTGAGGCAAAATAGGTACTTTTAACGTCCCACAAAAGATTGACTATTAGATCACCTAGAGAATTTTCACCAGAAACATTTAACATCTGTTGGGATTAAATATTAAGAAATAATGTGAGGATATCAGTTACAGGCAGTTTCTTCTTTCCAGGTACAACTATCTCTCTTTTGTTTGCCCTGAAAGAAAGATCTGTGCCGACAGTTACCTTCTCCATGTTCCGAGAGACATAATTCCAACAGTATTTTTTTTTGTCCTGATATATAAATGATATATATGGCAGACTTCATTTTTAATTTGCCACATCACAATTTCATTTTAACAATTTACTCATCAGTATTTTAGCTTTTGATTTACAAACTGACTAGACACTTTTTAATGGCACAAAAAGCTACATAATTTGTCATTATATTACAAACGATTGATGCAAAAAGTGCTGCTACTTGCTTCTGACTTGTAATTATTATTTCCTGTGATTTGTAGTTGACTCAGGGGGAGTCTCTGCTGACGTTGTTTGACAACCAGACGTGGGCAAAACAGGGAAATCCTGACGAATTTGACTACCTTGGAAAAGCTGAAGCCTGGAAACACCCACAAGTCAACATCTTCGTCACTCTGGTCCTCTTCATCATCATGAAGGTAGGAATAAAGTTGAGGAAGCTTTACAATGGTGGTATCACACTTCTGTAGCGGATTGTGCTGGAGGCGACAACCCTAAAGCCGTCTTCACTGCAGCTAAACCTCTCATGTTGAAGCTTGGAAGCTGTAATTTCTGAGTAATTATTATTCAGTACATGTGATGCCAATTCTTTGCAAAACAACCTTTCTTTGACGGGAACTATGACTAGCACAAGAAGAGAACGAATTAACGCCATTTATCTGCTTTCTATAGGTTAACAGTAATACTCTCTTCAAAGTCAATTCTTAATTGGTATCAATTTGCTTAAAAATCACAAGATTTAAATTGTTGTAAAATATCAATATACATTCATATTAGTATTGTGTGAGTATATTAGTAAATTACCTTAACAAAGACATTCAGGACACGCCAATATTAGTTATTCTCCTGCTTCATAAATATGCTTTTAATGTCTTAATATTGAATGATTGGTGTTTCAGCTGCTTTCTGCACAACTATTACACTCAGGCAGTCGTCTGGTCTTTGGAAATACCAGAGGAGTGTGTATTTTTGCTAGTTTTGCAGAGAGAAATGGGAGTTTTTATTACCTGTGGTTGCCGCAATTACATACTGCATAACAGTTGGTATCAGCAGTAGGTTTTCATCTGAGACTTTACGTTGATCATTTAAAGCTTCTGTGAGTAGGACCCCAATTCCATACCTGGGATTGGATTGGGACATCTCTGCTGTGAAACCTTTTTGAATCAATAATTTTCTAATAGCATTTTTTGCCAAACATATCCTAAGCAGCTATTATGCTTTATGTTGTCTCAACTGCAAGAGATGAAAACGTATCTGCTTGTTGAAAAGCAGCGGAATAGGAACAGACTGTCTGTCTCTGTGCAATTTGAATTGAACTCATTTGTGCCTTATGCTCAGCTGGGGAGCAGAATAGCAGGAACTCTTCTCTGCTGTTGTCGTAACTTGATCGCAGTCTTCGATTATCCCACAGCGCTGATGACAGAGCTCACCAGTGACGGGTGATGAGACACATGGGAGAGATGTAAGGAGCTGCAACATTCAGTAGATTATCACTGTCAGCTATCACCTCAGCTGCACAGCTCTGGAAAGGTTGGAAAGTCTGAATACTTGAGGTACAGAATGTAAAAGACCATTTTTGTTCAGGTAAGGGGAGTTAAAGGATTAACACTTTGACTCCTTTAGATTTTAGTGAGTTGGAAAGGAGAGACTGTGAATATTAACAAACCAGTCCAATGTACTTTGTAAGAAAAAGGTAAATAGGACCACCGATAGTACTTTTGCTTACCTTCCATCGTCCGATTTCACTTATACTCTTTTAGAAACTTTGTTATAAAGACAAAACAAACATAAGTTTAAGCCACACGTCACACGGTCATCCCTTATCTCTGAAAATGCTTATTCTTGTCCGCCGATTAGATTTTTTGCTGCTATTAAGAAGAAATAAACGTTCTATGATCAATAGTTATCCATGACATGGACATAACCCTACATGTGAGTTTGTGTTCTGAATTTCACCCAACAAAGTACTCACAGAAAGTAGTGTAGATGTGTGTGTGGGTGTAGAAACAAAGAGAGCAGGGCTATGAATGTTCATGTGGTTCATGTTCGGGTGACTAAAAACAGGATTTGAATCATTGCATCTCCAACCACAGAAGCAAGTTTTCTATCAACCAATATGTTCTTTTTCTATTGCCAGCAGGTTTTTTTGTTTTTTAAATCCCGGTGACAACCAGTGTTTTAGGCCAATAATGTTTGTTATATTTCACTTTTATAATTTTCTCTTTCTTCCTTCTCCTTTACCCAGCTGGCTGAAGTGAGCTAATTCAAACAGTAGCTTGTTTTTCCTTTTGTAATTCCAATTATGCAGTGGTGCAGACATTTAAAGATTAGCATTTTTGCACCTCCTGTTCTTGAAAGACTTCACAATCAGTGAATTAAGTTTTACCATCATCCTTTATAACATACAGTGGACAAAGCCTGCACAAGAGTGTGTACAAACAGCCCGTACACAACGGCAACGTGTGTGGCGAGGTTGCAAACAAGTTTTCCTATCGCTCTGCCAGTGATGCACACATGCTTAACACATAACAGCTCGTGTCAGTGTGTGCATAAAACTGGAGAAGTAACATTTTTTAAAAGAAGTAAAAAAAAATTAAAAGAAGTTAGCACACAGTCTAATAACCACTGTCCTCTGGGGTCCAACCATAGTTCTGCATCAGTCCAGAGGGCACTTTAACGCAGTGGCAGCAGCAACTGTTTGCATAAATGTTTGCACTGTCAAGACTGATTGGTGACACTATAAACAAATTAAATTATTCCAGCCCTCCATTTATGATCCAAACATTTAAGCATGGTACAATATAAAAATATAGGAAACTGTAAAGGGGCTAATCATTTTCATGGCGCAATTTTAAAGGTCTTTGTTGGATGTAACAATAGATAAATGATTATCCTCTTTGCAGCTCCTGCTGAGTACAATGTATAGGAAAATTAGGATAAAACCACACAGTGAAGTGAATATGTGACATTTGCTGAAGGCTCTGCTGTCAAAGTTATGTAAGCAAAGACACGGATCATGTGATGTCACTGCGGTAATGGCAGAAACTGATTTACTGCGACTGTTTCTTAGTTTTATCATAAGAAATGTCTCGCTCAGTGTTCTGTCTGTTCAACTTAGAATGAGAATTGCAAGCAGTGGATTTGAATTATTTTAATAAGGTAAGTTTAATTGAGCTTTTAATAACATGTTCGATAGCAGGTCCCTTTTTCTGTGTCCAATCCTCCGTTTGTCCTTTAGTGAAATGTTGTCCTTTTAGGATCATTCCTCCTCACTGTGGAGACATCCAGCCACTGTGAATCTACTTACTGTGCATGAACAAGGTTAATTAAAAAAAAAAATCTCTTCATGTTGGTGTCACATACAGAGCCGCACAAAACTATTCATAGCCTTTAAACTTTTTCCATATTTTGTCACACAACCTTCAATGTGTTTTACTAGACTTTTTAATGACAGAACAACATTAAGTAGTGCAGAATGAAGAAATGAAGTATGGCTTTAAGAATGCTTTACAAATAAACTGAAAAATTGGATTTATTTGCTTTCAATATTGAATCTTTAGGTTGTAGTTACAGTTGCAAGTGTTTTCTCAAGCTCAGACCTGAACTCTAGTTTTCAGGTTTTGCAGATTGTCAGTCCAACTTCTCAGTCCACTTGAACATATGATTTGTCTCCTAATTCACTGCTAAAAGCCTTGTATCCTGTGTCTTTTAGATGTTCCCTTGATTTACTAATAGGTTATTACAAGTATTTTTTAGGCAAAACTGTAGTCTTAAGATGTGACTATAGCCCCCCATCCCACCTCCATTCATGCTTCCAGGTCTTTCATTTTGCCAGTATCTAAAACTAAATAATTTAGTCTCCCTTCCCCTGCTCTGCACATAAACTTCATTCCTCCTGTTTGAAGCATACAACACAGTAGCTGTCACCTCTGGTTTACACATCTAATGTTGTTCCTTCTATTTTAAAACATTTCTGTTCACTTTCACAAATCCTGCATATGATGGTTCTCACCCAAGTGATTTTCTCTTTGCATGTGACCTTACACATTCATCATAAACTGTCCAGATGCTACAAAGTTTCCCACAGAAGGAAAAATATGTTTTCCTCCCATACGTAGTTGTTACCAGGCCTTTGCAGAACTTTCTGACATATTAAGGAGGCAATTCAGCCTATAATTCATCTGTGTTGAAGCATGGACACATCTATCATTCCACTTCATTTTATCCCTAGATGTATGTTAAGAGTTGTTGTCAGGCTGGATGATGAACCTCCTCTCTTGACTAAAGTCTGTAAACTTTCTCACATGATTCCCCTGTGCTTTATCTCCATGCACCTTTTTCTGCTGATTGAAAACACTATTGTAACTTAAAATAAAAGAGAAATATCCTTTATTGTCCAACTGTGGGAAAATTATCAATTTATTTTTTAGTGGCGTCACCCAAAAATATTTACTAATCTATCGACCCCTGTGAAATATTTCTGGAAGCACCACTGCAAAGGATATGAGGTATAAAACAGCACCTGAACAAACCTTGTTGAGCAGTTGAACATGTACTTGTTGCCATGCACTGACTAATGTCCTCTCTCTATCTCCATCACCCTGACTCGACATGCAAAGCGAGGCTGTAATGGCTCGGTCTAATTACAGCCTTTGGTTTTGCTGGGTTCACCCTGGTGATTTTCAAAGGCGAGATTGCTCTCACTCCCGCTTCTTCTCTATAATGACTGGTTCTTTTATTCAGCCTGGCAGCCATCTTGTCTTGATGCTCCCTTTTTCATGCTGAAACTTATGAAACACTATTTCCAGTGATGAATAGAAAACGTGCATAGTTCTCCAAAAGCTTCAGCTCTGCTAACAACTAGCAACTTGCCCTGATTAAGCAGTGACATTGAAATGTTAGCTCTTACTGTGAAGATGCTAGCTTCAGCTCAGCTCATTGGTTAGCAGCTTTGTGCACTCTTAAAGTTGCTAACCAATTTGCCATCCTTAATAATTCAATGTTATTTTTAGACTTGTGCTATTATGAGCTCTCAGGGTGAAACAGGTAATGCAGGTGTGTGTCCTTTGCTGTCTGTGTCTGAAAACAGTAGTGTGTGTGCCTTATAGTGTCACAGAGCTGACTGGACTGTAATTGGAGTGGGAATCGAGGAGGGGCTCCTGGGAAGAAGCACTGTCCTCTGAAAATGGTTTACACACAGGATCATACACCGCTTCCAGCTGATTGAGTATGAATGTCCTCCATGGTCCGTCATAACTGATACCACTGACATTTGTACCCTTTAGTTCTTGATAACTCATGTAGTCTTACAGTTTTTCTGGTCACTTTTCTTTGACTTAAATAACAAAATGAAAATCCACATCCTAATTGAATGGAAGAGGATATGTGTTTTTTCAGATTGCTTTAACCCTTTCATGCA